GTTAAGCATCTGACTCTTGATTTTGGCTCTGGTCATAATCTCACGGTTCGTGGGTTTGAACCCCATGTCAGGCTCTATGCTGGTAGTGCGGAACCTGCTTGGGATTCTTTCTTTCTTTCCCTCTCTCTCTGCCCCCTCCCCGCCCCCCCTCCCCCCCGGCTCATGCTCTTGCACAAAACAAATAAACATTAAATTTCAATATTAGATAATGCCATATTCCTTTCAATGATGTTGTATCTTTGCAAAGCTAGATTTTTGGGTTTCTGTAGTAAAAGCAGCAAATAACTGTGGTTGTGTTCAATTTCATATCAAGGTTTGAAAAGTTGTACAAGGGTTCTAATAGCTGCACATATCTCATTAGTAAATAACTGTGGTTATTTATGAACAAAGTAAAATATTTTCTTTCAAAACCCAAAACCAAAAGGAAATACCTAATATTTTTATTAAGTTGCTAAATCAAAACAGCAAATATTTATGTCCTAATAAACTTATAGCTGTTTCTAAAAATACTTCTTGTTTTTACATGCATTCCATATAATAATGAGAAAAAAAAAAAATCACCAAAACACTAAGGGCACTGTGAACAGAGAAAACTTGGAAATCTTTGTCTGAAAAGGAGTCCACTAAACCAAACAAACAATTATCCATACAATTTTCTTCATTAAATACATCTTGCCAAATAACTTACTTTTCTGAACCATAGACTGGCTCATGAAAAGCTCCATATTTCATTAAAGGCTTAAATATCACTGAATTTTCACATGTCATTCTAGAATTAACCAGCTAAACCACAAATAAAATTTCAAAAAATAAAAATTTGATTAATTTATGCAGATTACCTGAGTGAGAGCTCTCAACGGTGGTATCTGATCTGGAATCCAGATAAGAAGGAATCTGTTTTAATTGTGGAACATAGTACATCCTGGTACTACCAGGAGGCTTATATGGCAACAGTGAAGGCTGGGCTAAGGAGATAAAAATGAGAACAATTAATAAGAAGATTTGTTAAAATTCATTAAACAAATATTGAGTGCCTTTAATGTGCCATGCAGTGTACAAGATTTGTGGCATATATCAGGGCACCCGGCTGGCTCAGCTGGAAGAGCATGCAACTCTTGATCTCAGGGTTGTGAGTTTGAGCTCCATACTGGGTGTAGAGATGACCTAAAAAAATAAACTTTAGGTCTGCCTGGGTGGCTCAGTTGGTTGAGTGTCTGATTCTTGATTTTGGCTCAGATCATGATCCCAAGGTCATAGGACTGAGTCTCGTGTTGGGCTCCACACAGAGCATGCAGCCTGCTCAAAATTCCCCCCACCCCCGCCACTTGTGCTCGTTCTCTTTAAAAATAAACAAACAAATAAACTTTAAAAAAAAAAAAGGATTCTTGGCATATATGAACTAAAACAAAAAATCTCTGCCTTCAAGAAGAGCTAGCATTCTAGAGGAAGGAGATATACAGTAATAACACATTAAATAAGTAAATTATTTATTATTTTAATAAATTATAAGTTACATGAAAAAGAAATTAGAAAATGCTGAGGATTATTAGTAGGACTACTAGGGAAACCAGGGCAAGATGCAGTTTAAATAGAGTGGTAGGGGGGCGCCTGGGTGGCTCAGTCGGTTAAGCGTCTGACTTCGGCTCAGGTCATGATCTCGCAGTCCGTGAGTTCGAGCCCCGCGTCGGCTCTGTGCTTACAGCTCAGAGCCTGGAGCCTGCTCCGGATTCTGTGTCTCCCTCTCTCTCTGACCCTCCCCCATTCATGCTCTCTCTCGGTCTCAAAAATAAATAAACATTAAAAAAAAAAAAAAACAAAAACAGAGTGGTAGGGGTAGGTTTCATTGAGATCAGTTTTTTAGCAATCTAGTCCATGTACAGATGGCTCTAACTAAAACCCACTTTATCTTACATTGAACCCCAAATTGTTAACCCCTTACTACTGATCTTATGGTCTTATTCTGTCCCCCAGAGCCATAGAAAATAAGTCTAATTCACTTCTATGTGAAAGATCTCCAAAATAAATTTCTTCTTTTCAAAATAAAGTTTCAATTATAGAAGTATAAATTCCCAATTTTAAGAAAATACATAAAAATTGGTATAGTTTTGTTGTTGTTAGTTAATTTTAGCTATTTGGTGGGTGTGTAATGGCATATCATTATGGTAAACATTTGCATTTCCCCAGTAATTATGTTTAGAATCTTTTCATGTGATTATTGTCATAAAATTTAAACTGGTAGGAATAATAGTGAATTTATTAGCACAGTCACTGTGCACAACATTGGTATTAAAAAACACAATTGTGTTTCTATACACCAGCAAAACCACACAGGAAAAATACTACATACAGTGTCATGAAAGAAAAATATAATATCAAATATCTAATGAATAAATGTAAATAAAGAAAATAATGGTTGCTGTTGGGAAAGAATAAAAAGACTGGAGAAGAGTAAAGAAGAAAGTTCAACTATAAAATAAATTTCTTCAAAAAATTTGAAAACAAACCAAATATATAGTATATTATTCTGAATTTTAAAATTCAGAATAGTGACCACACAGTCATGTGTTTAACATACGATTCTTTGAAATTTAAAATGTTTTCATACAAAAAAAACCCCACCAAATTTTACTTTTAAATCCACAGTATTAAACATAATTTAAAGGAATCCTTCCAGGTCCTGTATACAAAGGTAAAACCATAAATTATGGTCTCTATATAAATGTATGCATTTGATGTGAGCAGAAGTTTAAACCACACTCTCACAGTTGGATTTCCCCTCTTGTGCTTCTCCCACCACCATGAGAACAACATAACCCAAGGTACATATTGTCTCATTAGCCTTGGTTTCAGAACAAGGCATATGGAACAGACCCAAACCATTTCTGTAGCCTAAAGCCAAACTCCAATTGACCCACAAAGCCCATGAGTGAAAAAAGCAAATGTTTATTTTTATAAAGCACTGAGATTTTCAAGGTTGTTTAATAGTATCACTGTAGTACTAGGTAACTGATATAGACAGAAAGGTGTTCTTTGTGATATTTATTAAACTGTAGATTTGGGGGGCATTTTTTTCACAATGAAAATGTTTAAGAAGTATAACCATCTTAACATATAAATGTACCTGTTTAAATTAAATTCACTGAAAGTTAAATGCTGAACCAAGAAATTCTCTTTATATATTTAGGTGTATCCCATCTTATCTACAGATAGATAACCTTTTTGCATAAGGAGAAAAACTTAAAGTAACATTTTGAGTAGACCTGTGCTAACTACTAAATACTTTAAAATTAGTAACTTAAAGTTCCCACCCTCATTTGAGGGAAGAGCGGAAACTTAATTGTTAATTTTCCTGTTATTGGTCTGAAAGAGGAAATAACACTCTAATTTGAATGTTATACTGTATAAGCACTATTGAAATATCACTGTGACAACAGCAATATGAACACTCTAAATGTAGACCTTATGGTAGAGACTGCTAGCTGTTCATCAAAATCCACTCTTCATCCTGAAAAACACAGCTAAACTATTCCTAGCTACGAGAAAATCATCTGAGCCACTTCTAGGCCTAGTACGTGTGCTTCTCTCTCTTTTTAAAGTTTATTTATTTACTTTGAGAGAGAAAGAGAGCAGAGGAAGGGCAGAGAAAGAGGGAGTGAGAGACTCCAAGCAGGCTCCACGCTGTCAGCACAGAGCCTGACATAGGGCTTGAACCCGAACACCGTGAGTGCGTGACCTGAGCCAATCCATTGGGTCAGATGCTTAACCAACTGAGACACCCAGGTGCCTCCACAAGTGCTTCTCTATGCTTTTTCTGTCCCTTCTAGCTGATTGTGGTGGTGAATCCAAGGTAACTGTGGGCTCCATGTTTTGAAGACAGCAAGTCAACCTAGGTCCTTGGTCATTATTTTATAAGAAACAGATTGGTATTGTATTTGTACTATTATATATTTTTGCTACTATTTAACATTGTATTATATGTAACATTTAATATAAGACAAAATGCCAATAATTCACCTGCCAGCCTAGAACTAGACCTCCACAGTTTTTAAATTTTTATGAACTACTTGCATTATTATAAGTATCATGAGATAAAAATATGTCAATCGCAAGCAGCATGAGTTCCACATAAGTTTTTTTTTTAAGTTTATTTATTTATTTTGAGGTGGGGGTAGTGGCAGAGAGAGAGGGAGAGAGAGAATCCTAAGAAGGCTCTTCATTGCCAGCACAGAGCCCAATGCGGGGCTCGAACTCATGAACCATGAGATCATGACCTGAACCGAAACCAAGAGTCAGACACTTAACCAACTGAGCCACCCAGTCACACCAACTTCCACATAAGTTGTAACTCCACTAGAAATTAAGGCAAAAACATAATCACACTCTCTTCATAGCTGTGTAAATAAAAGATGGATAGAATCGCTTGGATCCTAATGCATAAAACAAAAATTTCGTTTTCTCACTAGAAAGACCTCCTCACAAATTTCTGAGATCACTGCATATAAAAGTTGGTATTATGACCTAAAATGTAATCACATTCTCTTACCATCTGTGCCATGAGGATGAGTAATCTGTTGAACTGAAGATGATGACACAAACTTGACAGGAACTTTGTCCAGGTTCTGGGTACTGGGCTCTGGACTTTCAAATCCATGATCTTCAGCATTAATAAAAATTTCAGATGAAAACATGGTTTTTCCTGGACTTTCTGTTGTTATCTGAGTGACTGCATCAGATGATAATTTTCCAGAAAAGGCAGAAAATGGGGTCTTAATCTCCTCTGACGGTCTGAACAAAAAAGAGAAAGGACACAGCAGGTCATATCCATGGCTTATCAAATACTCTAATCTCTTTCCAAAGGTAGCTTCAAGGAATATTTTGTGGAGATACATCAACTTCAAATGGTTATTTCTACAGTACCCTTTGCCATCTGAGATACTTATAATCCAATTGTGCATGAGTTTACTTTTATTCATTTTAAAATCTACTTTAAACTTCAATTTAGAATGCTATCATACAATTTAGCTGAGTAATAGTACTTTTCAGTTGAAGTAAAAATATATTCATTTCAAAAAATTACTAGAAGTCCACTAAAAATTAAATGCACAGTGTACAAAAATAAACAAGAAATAATGACTTGCATGAAGAAGTTTATATGTTAGTGGGGGAACCAGAGATTTTCAAAATTGTAATTATGTATTATGATTTTAGAGAATATTAAAACAGAATAAAGAAATTACTGAATAAACGCAAAATGAAAGAAGATAAATCTTGTTTACAGAATTCCAAATAATATATGTAGATACTTCCCCATCCAAGGAGGTGAAAATTAATCTCTCCCTTCTCCTTTGAGTATGGGCTGGATTAAGCAACTGGACTCCAAAGAACAGAGTAATAAAAAGGGATAAATAGTAACTTTATAGTGTAGAAACCTAGCAAACACCATGGTGATGAAGGTTCATATCACCAATGTTGTCATGCAGATGTCACATTCTCTATGCTATGATGTGAAGCAATGGGTATTTCCTTCTTATGGTATTCTTTGCCAAAACTCCTAATTCAAGTCTAATCATGTGAAAAACATCAGCCAAACCCAGACTGAGGGACATTCTACAAAATATCTAACCAATATTTGTCAAAACTGTCAAAATCATGAAAAAAAGGAAGGAATGAGGCACTGTCATTGAAAAGAGAGGACTAAAGAGACATGACAACTATCTAAAGGGAATTGTAAATACTGAACTGGGTCCTGGAACAAAAAAAAGGCCATTAATGGAAAAAATATGAAATATAAATAAAGTTGGGAGTGTAGTTAATGGTAATGTACAAATGTTGCCCTCTTAATTTTGACAAATGTTCACAACCGTAATGTAGAATGTTAATAGGAAAAGCTGGCAGATGGATACAGGGAACCCTATTATGTCTGTCTTTTCTGTAGACCTGAAAGTACTCAAGGGGCACCTGGTGGCTCAGTCTATTAGGTATCCAGCTCTTGATTTCAGCGCAGGCCATGATCTCATAGTTCCTGAGATGTAGCCCTGCATGAGGCTTTGACTGACAGCGCAGAGCCTGCTTGGGATTTTCTCTTCCTCTCCCTCTGCCCCTCCCCGACTCATGCTTTCTCTCTCTTTAAATAAACTTAAAAAAAAATAAACTTACTCAAAAATATTTTTTAAAAACAGAGTAATACTGTATTAATATTGTATTAGATACAGTAATAATGTATTACAAAACAGAAGAACCCTTCAATTTCTACCCTCTGTCTACTATTCAATTGAATAGGAAAACTGAAGAGGAAAATTATGAGAAAAGAAAATAAGGGGTCAATCTTCCTTATGAATATGCAAGCAAGAATACTAAGTAAAATATTAGAAAACCAAACGCTGTATGTATGCAAATTCATACCAAGATGGTTTACTCCAGGAATGTAAGGTGAGTTAACACTCAAAAATCAATCAACATGATTCACCACGTCAAAAAAATAGAGAAAATGTTTATGACCACATAAATATAGCTAAAAAAGCATTTGATAAAGCTCAAGAATTATGTATGAGAAAAACTTGTAGCAAAGGGAAATCACAAAAAACTTTAGAGCAACCATCCTATTCATACTGAAATGTAGAAAATGCTCACTGTTAGACTAGGAACAAAATAAGGATGTCAATTCTCACCATTTCTGTTCAACTTTAGTAAAGGTCTTAAATGGCATTAGCAGTAAGTCAGGAGAAAGAAGAAAGAAGAAATAATAATACATATTTTATATACTTAGGTACACAGAAAACCTAAAACAATCTAAACATAACTAATTAAAATACAGATTTTTATAAAAGTTGCCAGATAGGAGATAGAAATTTTTAAAAATCCACTTTTGGTATCAGAAAAATTATAAAATTAAAGGCTAAAAAATATGCCATCTGTAATATGATCACAAATATCAAATACCTAATAGTATAATTAAAAATGTAAGAACTCTACGTAGGAAGCTATTCATTAGAGAAATTAAAGGTAACCTAAATAGGACTTCCATTTCCAGGTAGAATACAGTACATAGCCACAGGCCATCATTCCTGTTACAACAAGGAAATAAAATTGAATAAATTATAAAAATCATAGGTAAAAGATATCAGAGAGCTATGGAAGCAATCAGGAAATAATATCATCTAATATGCTAGAGAAGGGATTTTGGAGATTATGGGCAGGGACTGAGTGTAGGCAGACATACTCCCCTGGGAAAGAGAAATCACCAGAGCTTTTGAGGAACTCATGGGCTACCATGGAGTGAAATCTAGCAAAATGCCAAGCCAATTTCCCCACAGGACATTTTCTTAGTATCACGATGGTATGGGAGAATGTGAAATTGAGTCAGAGAAGCAGAGTGAATTCTGCTTCATAGTCAAGGCATTAATAACAAACCAAGTCCCATTAGACAGAGGGACCTTTAACAAACATCAGGTCTCCTCCTCAAGACATTTGCCAAATTTTGAACCTCAATAAGGCAGGAAGCTAAATAACTACTGCCTGAGTGAGAGAACTTTCAAATCTGAGGACACATTCCAGACTCGAGAGAAAAAAACCAGAAGTGCCATTCCCAAGAAAGGGGCTGAGCCAAAAAAAGTAAAATCAATTGTAATGTTTGGGTTCTTATGGGACAAATTTCCATTAAGAAAGTGTAACTACAGAGGTGCCTCGGTGGCTCAGTCAGTTGGGCATCCAAGTTCGACTCATGATCTCGCAGTTCATGAGTTCAAGCCCTCTGTCAGGCTAATAGCTGATGCTGATAGCTCAGAGCCTGGAGCCTGCTTCGGATTCTGTGTCTCCCTCTCTCTTTGCCCCTCCCCCCAGTCATGCTCTGTCTCTCAAAAATAAATAAACATTAAAAAATATATATGAAAAAGAAAGTGTAACTACAACATAGCTGGGCTGCCCTTACATTTGCCACATTCAAACCTTCAAGGCCTGAGAGTCTAAGCAGAAGAACTCAAACATCTGAGACACTATCTCACTGTATTTACTTACTGCAGAATCAAAGATCTGTCAGGATTAAAGCAAAAATCCAGGAAGGCCACAAATCAGGAAAAATCAAACGCATAATGAGTCAACTACAGCTTCATCCCACTGCTTACTCAGTAAAATACCTGACATGACTGAAGTGATCAGTCATTTTTTAGGATTTATTTTTTATTTTTTAATTTTTTTTAAATATGAAATTTATTGTCAAATTGGT